TTCGTAATTCTGATAAATATAATTATTATCATTTCTCTGTGCTTTTTATTATATTTGAAGATAATCCCCGGCATTCGAAAACTACTCAATACTAATCCGACTTGTGGCGTTTGGTAAACGTTGTTCATGCCTGCCGTCTTTTTTCAACTGCCACATTGAACTAGACGGACGTTCATTGGACACCGTGATTATATATCTTTGAAAAAATATTAAAAAGTAATTAGAGATAAGAATAAAAAATCAATAATCCATATTCACAACTTTTTAAAATTCAATTAATTGTCGAAACTATGGATGGAAATCACACAAGCTGATGACGTCATTGTCAACATGGTGGGCACGAGATAGGAGGAATCGATTTCCTCTGAAAATATCTTGAACGGACGATAATCTAAATAATTAAGATGGCAACAAGAAGTCTGACTGAAGTGTACATACTTATGCGGAACAATGCACTACAAAACCGGCACATTTTCTCGGAGCAGGTGAGTGATATCCACCATGAACGTGCAGTACATTCATTTATCAACTGTCAACTGAGGCGCTGCCACTGGCTGACACCGAATGCAGTCTTCATATTTATTGTTTGTAGTTTGAATTAAAAGTAATGATAGATATGGTGCGTAGGTGATATTTGGAGGAACAAGGTGACGTGTAATTGTATCAGCCCTTCAAACGGGAGTGCCATTCCATGGCGTATTTTTTACACCCGTACGTGTCTGTGACACCCCCCCCCCCCCCCCCATGTACAGTAGCAGGACTCATCGTGCGTTAGCACACCTGTTCACTGCCCAGCTGTTCACGGTCCCAAAATCATTATGGGTCCTTTAGGAAATATGTCCTACATAAGAGTCTTACGGGATGTCCTTCAATATAATCCTATAGAATCCTATAGGACTCCTATGGAGTCCCAGCCTAGGTTGTCCAATAGGAATTTTACGCAAGTGAAGTCAGACATATTCTGTCTTTACTAATTTTTTCTTCGTAGTAATTGATTTTAAACATCCCTGTATCCTTTATTTTATGTAGTTTAATTAACAGCAAGTAAAGAAGTTGTCAATCATCTACATTGGGATAAAGAATATGATGGATTCACTCACACAGTTATAACACATAGCTGTTTTGACCGCTGAGCTTTGACATTATTCCTCGACATTTGTAAACAGAAGCTTACTAATGTATGTTTCAGTTACATTTACAGACTCAGTATTGTATTAGATATCTTAATTTCATTTAGGAAAAATTGAAATCACTGTCTGAGTGTCATTAAGATTATGAGTACTAGTAAGTGAAGTCTATAACATGCTGTACTTGGATATCTTGTAACCTTTGAACTTTTTGAAAAATTTAAATGCCATTAATTTTCTGTAGGTTCCTCTGATAAAAGATGCACATGTGGTAAGTCATATGTTAGGGTCGTAGGGATAGAAATATATCAGGATGACTTCATTGTCATATAGATGTTAATGAATAAGACACACTTCTGATCATTTTTATTTCAATCAATGTTAAAAAGGGACTTTTCTCCAGTTTATGTTGTCTTTAACTCAGCATGTTGGTGTTGGGGCTAGGCATCTGTGTTTTGAGAGAAAAGACACTGGACATCCTCAGCTCTCCACAGTAGCTTATTTGGAACCTTATTTGCAAATGTTTCGCTGGCTCTTTGTGGTAAAAATCTAAAAGCCTCATTATCCTGGGTTTTTAATTTAAATGGCTCTTTAAAATCAAATACTAGTAATCACCTCTGTACATTGATTGCTGACATAAAGCATAACATGCGTATCAGTGTTATTTGAACTCTAGATGCATAGACTGCTTTAAGTTTTAATCAAATATGTGCACACACACACACACACACACACATACACACACACACACACACACACACACACACACACACACACTGAACACAAAAGAAAAAAAAAGACCAAAAATAGTGGCTTTTTACCTGCAAATTCATACGGCTAAACATGCTTGTAATGTTTATATAATAATTACTTTTAGTGCTTGATACAAAACAAAAAGAGAGTATAGTGCATTTAATTGATGCAAAAATGATTTTAATATTTAATAATGAAAATGATTGACAAAAATATTATGTTATTTCTAAAATTATTAAAGATAATAATAAACCGCACATTTTCTTATATGATTATAAAGAATTCATAGTCTATATTTGAAAAAAATCTGAGGTATTTTTATTCATATTTCTGTAATAGATGTTACCACAAATATTTTATAAAATCATAAATATTAAAGGAGTTGAGTGCAATATTCTTCAACTTAACACATATATCTTGAGGAAAAGTTGAAGGATAAGTATTACAATCCTTTATTGGATAGATTGGATAGGTTACATCCATTATTTGCTGTGATCAAAGATTGAAAACATGCTAACTCAAACTGTCTAATGTTTAAGAGAGATCAGTTATCATTGGATGCAATTGTATAGTATTTCACTGTATTTACAGGTGGCAGATGACCGTATGGCACTGGTCAGTGGCCTTAGTACTGACCCAGAGGCTGGTATTGGAGTGACCAAGCTGAGCAGGTTACCTCCTGAATGGTGCGTAGAATGACCAGTAGCTGAATTTATTTATACACACTGCTTTTTAAAAAAGTTTTTTAAGTACCACAAAATATGGACATTGTAAGAAAGCTTAGTATTGTGTGCACATAGTGCTTTTATTGTAAAGTGTCACAAGATGTAGTAAGAAAGAAGATCAAAAATTGTAAGTTTTTCTTCATAGCATGCTCTTATTTTGGATTAGCACAAGAGATAAACATAGTTGCATGGTTGATCACCATTTGAATTGTTCATGTTACATTAGTTTTTTGATGGATTTATTTTACTTATTTCTTTGATTCAGTTTGATGTTTGTTTGCATTTCACTTTAACTTTTTCTTTGTATAAAATGCTTTCATTATTTAGTTTGGTTGAAGGAGGCAATGGACAATTGTTTTGTTGTTATTTTATCAGATTTTTTAGTAGAACACAAGTGTTCTACACATCTAGTGAAATAAAAACAAGAAAGAAAAACGAGAGTAGAAATAAAAACAAAAGTGAAAGAAAAGCAAGTGTAAGCATTGGGATGTTAATCAAATCCATTAGATAATAAAATGAAATACATTCTTTTTTTTTTGGTAAAATAAATGTAAATTTAAAAAATCAATAACTATAAATATGTATTCATTTAGTCACATTTAATCAACAACTGACTTCTGTTTCATTTCTAGGGTGGATACAGTTGAAGAAGTAAGTAAAATGGGCAGTTTAGAATTTTAACGATAAAGTGAAACCCGAATCAAATGGGAGGAAATGTCAAGGGTGGATCAGTCTGCAAATGTATTTCATAATGCTTCAATTAAGACTTGACAAGCCTTGAGGTCCCTATCAGAGTACAAAACCTGACCTCTCTTTTATAATGAGTCAATGATTAATTTCTTGAACATTTGCAATGTAATATTTAGTTGTAAGATACTGAAAAAAGAATGTCATTAAGTCATAGATAGCATGTTTTTAAATTTCTTTTTTTTATTGACACAATATATCACAAATATATGAAAATACATAAAAAAAGGACTTACAACACTCACTCTCACACTTAAGAGAAAATGTGTTGCACTATGACACTTTTAATTAATTACATCGTCGTACCCTAAATAGTCAGATTGAAAGTTTTCAAATTTCTTTTAATAGCTGCATTGAGAATTGATACTAATAACTTTATCTTGTACAATTTTAGTTCCAGTTTGATATTACAAGAATAAAAGAAAAAAGTAAGTAAAAAATGGGTATATATTTTCATACTTTGATAAATAAATATTTATTTAGTTGTTAATGTAATATGTACCCTTATATCTTATGATAAAGAAGACTCTAGGTCTGTTTTGTTTTTAAATCTTGGTAGACAATTTCACGTCTCTGTATAATTAGAAGATATTGTTATATAACTGTATTCTTACTTGGTTAATACTTGTTTTAAACCACACACTTATACAGTATCACATTTTGTGAATTTTTAGAAGGAAAAAGTACAATTGGATTTATGTGCTTAGTGATAGGTTTTAGTTTGATCGATAGTTTTTTCTCAATATGTGCCCCCCCCCCCCTGCACCTATTTAAGTCCTCATTTTTGCCCTTTTTTTTGTAAATTTTTAAACCTTTATTACTATGTGCTAATTTTAGACCTTTGTATTTTAGTGAAAGAACTTGTTTCATTACACAACAAACATTTAAACAGACCAACACTAGATGACAGTATAGATGAGGAACATGCCATAGAAATACAGACACAAGAAATTACCAAGGTCAGTTTATAATGCTGTTTTTAGTTTTCTTTTGCTTTGTGGAACAAAACAACTCACAGTGTTGAAATTAACTTGGCAAGAAGTCCTATTTCTTGATGTTTTTATAAAAGCAAATAACCATAGGAATATTGTATCAATTTTATGATAATAAAAATAATTGACATTTATTCAGCAGTTACAGCATAGTCTTAAGTGTATATTAAAATGCTGTATTTCTGGTTATATAATGATCATCTGATAGGTGGAGGCATCTATCATTTTGTTGCACTGTGTTTTGTCTGTACATTTGCTCTCATTACTGTGTAGTTTCAGCCATGTATACCTTTTATGAAATGTGTGTGTGTGTGTTTTAATTAATCAGTTTAAACAAGAATTAATAATAAGGGTTTATTTCAAACATAAATGCATAACTGTCATATTCTTTAACAATGAATGTCTAATTATTTTCCAGGTTTAACTGATTTTTTCAGTTCTACATTTTGCCTTTATCATTTATTGATGCACCCTTCATCTTTTGCAGCTGTTTCACAGATGTCAGAGGTTAGTACAACAGATCAACAGTAAAGGCCATTACGGTTCAGCCCAGGAGCAGAAACTCGCACAGAATATTGTATCTTCACTGGTGAGGACGCTCCAAGACCTCACAGTGAATTTCAGAAAATCTCAATCTAGTTATCTAAAAAGTAAGTGCAGCCAGATAAATCGATACCCCCAAGTAGATTTAACCTCAGACTGTTTGATTTTCTGATCACTGAAGTATTTATAAAGTTATGAAAAAAGTGCCATTTTGTGAAAGAATAACTTTGTCTGATCACTATTTCATGCAGCTTTACTCATGACTTGAAATGAAACTTTTTCCCAGTATTACTACATAAGATCCAATGATGGAGTTATTTGAACACTTATAAAGTTCACCACTTCTCAAGTGCCAAACAGAATACTTTTTTAAACAATCAACATTTTATTGAACTTTTGAAACTATGATAAATAATTCCAGTAATACATTTTGCTGTTTAGGGTCATTTATTTAAAAATAACTTGAATATTTGCTGTGTTAATGAGAATATAAGTGCTTTGAATGAAAAAAAAAAAACTATTGGGTTCTTTATTATTGTAGAGTTACAATCCAGAGAGGAACGTTCCAAGCATTATTTTGAAACAGTCAACCTATTAGGTCCAGATTTTTCTGGTGTAGGTCCAGAGAATGAAGAGGATCTTTTATATGACAGAGTTAGTATCCATGTACTGGTAGATTTTATAAGTAATTGCATTAACCAGGTTATCTACAGTGTAATTTTTGTTATAATCAAATATAAAATTGCCATTTCTTAAGTAAGTTTAATAACTTGTTTTATTTTATATAATATGGCACACTTGAGGGTAGCAAACTCATTATACATGTAGTGTGAACCAGCTAGCTTTCACATAATTTTGAGGGCCGAAATTATAATATTTCCTTTTCCACTTTTTGAATTACTCACCAATATAATGAAAGTAATGAAATTTCAAAACACATTGTTGTCTCTTAAAGTATTTTGTACAATTGAAGAAAAAAAATTAAAAGAAAAAACATGGATTTATGTACAATTAAGCATCTGATACTTTCATGTTCTTCTAAATGTCATTTGCCTGCTGTATCAAAGTGAGTCGATGCATAATTCTGTAAATAAGACCGCATCTTTAAGAAAAGAGTTACAGTGCAAAAATACACAGAATAATATGACAAGAATGAAATGTAATCTTGACATTTTTGGCCACTTTTCTTTTCCAGGGTTTCACCGATGTGCAATTACAAAGTGTGGAAGACAATACAGTGGTAGTACAGCAACGAGAGCGAGAGATAGCACAGATAGTACGCTCTATACAAGACTTGAATGAGATATTTAAAGATATTGCTACACTTGTCACTGATCAGGTAGGGCAGAAAAAGATTACTAAGTAATACAACTTTCACTACAATAGACTCTGCATTACCTGTCACTTTATAACTGACATTATCATTGTTACCCAAACAAAATGTCTGGTTCCAAACTATCAGAATCTACTTCTGAATCATTGCTTGTGTTATTTGCATGATTTTTAAGTTGTTTTTTTTTTATGTTTGTAGAATTTATATTGTAATGCCTTTGGAATTTTAAGTAAATTCACTGAGATGTTTTTTCTTTCAAAGAATATTACAGCTTGAATAGCAAAATTGGATTTAAGAAATTGAGAAACAGATTTTAAAGGTTTTTATTATTTATTATGATAAAACCATTTAATGGACTTAAACTTCTTTATGGATATGTCTCTGAAGTAAAACATATCTGTGCTTCCTAAGAAATGACAGATTTTTTTCTTCTCGAATTTTCCAGGGTACAATACTAGACAGAATAGACTATAACATAGAAAAGACGTCAGTTCAAGTAGATGAAGGACTCAAGCAGCTACAAAAGGCAGAAAAATACCAAAAGAAAAATAGGAAAATGTTGGTTATAGTTGTACTAGCTGTCATTGTCATACTGTTACTGATAATACTGATAGCAGTCAAATCCCATCACTAGTATCTACAGTAATTGCATCCAAGTGATGTAGCTTAAAATAATTCCAGTTGCCATGGGAATGTCGCCAAATATTTTTTACTCCCTGAGGAAAAAAGCTCAATATCAGGTGCTTGCCATTTGCACTAACAAGCTAAACGCATGTGCTGATAACAAAGTGAAGAGTCCAAGCTTAACGTACCATTTTCCTGTAATGTGGGAGTTCTAGTGGTGGCTTTCACAAAACGAAAGAGATACTCCATGGTTGAACCACAAAACAGCTGGACTGTGGCTGTGTGACTCTTTATGGGAATTTTTTGTGAAAAGGTTGAAGACTGCGAAGGTTTTGGACTTTGACTCATAGCCAGTATGAGTTTGGAACACTTCCAAGAATATCATTTATATATTTATTTATTTATTATTTTTTTGAAAAATGAATGATTGAAACACAAAATAATGATGAATGAAAGCTCTAGTTGGTACTCTACAAACTTAGAGAAAATTCATTTTATTTATTGTCCAAAATGTAGTATTGTTAAACCCCAAAGACATGCATGTTCTGAAAAGTTAGATGAGTTTAAATCAGAAATTACTTTTTGGCATTAACTAAAATAGACAAAGATAAATGCAATATTGGTGCATACAAAATGTTCCAACTTTCAAATTGTTAGCATTTACTTAAAAAGAATCAATTACAGGTCTTGAAAAAGGTAAACATAAGTTCAGGAACTACAAATATGCCTTCCTCAAAAGGAATTGTATGTATATGTAATATTTAACATCATATGTTTTAAAGGAGGAGGTCAGTTTATGTACTAGGGTATTTTCTGTCTACATATCTATGGAAGAGATGTTTCCGTCTTTACATATCCTGCATGCTTATATTTCTATTGAAAACTATCACTGCGGGTATTATAAGCTAGGTAAAAATACTCCTCATTAAGAGTTTCATGGTGTGTTGTAATCTTTACAGCCAGCAATTTGCCATTTTTCATGGTAGATCCACTAGGAACTTACCCACTACCAGATTGATTTTTCATTAGATATTCACAGATATGTCTCTGGTTAAATTCATGGTTATTCTTTGTACTTGGCGAAAATGCCCGCATAATGATAAGTATGGCCCTGGAAGAGAGTACAAGAAATTGGCTTTTCCTAATGGAGCCTGAAAATCAGAGTGGTGCTTTATAGAAGAGGGAAATGAATTCTGTTTCTGCTGAACCATTTTTTCCACTGGTAAAATTTGTAAACAAAGTATTACAATTAATGCAATTCAATGTATAGGCAAATTGTACAGCTTTAACTGCAGTCTGGAAAAGAGACTCGATGCCAGTTGTTATATTGGGATATTTTGATGGGACCTGTGACAGATTTGATATTTTTAACAGCATTTATTTTCGACTGCTTTGGTTTAAATATACCAAGTGTCATTCAATGGTCAGTTCAGTCGGTAGCGTACATCCTGGTGTTCTTAGTGCTTATTTTGACTCCTCAAACCTTCCTTGTTATACTATTACAAAGTTCCCAATGCACTTTGAACCGGGGGGGGACAAACTAAGTCGGGTTGGTCTTCGTATGTTAAAATTTTAGGGAAAAAATGAAAAAAAAAAATCTTTGAAATGCAGCCTCTATGCCTAATGTATATCAGATGCGTTTCCAAACGTTACCAAACAAGCGGGAATATATGCTGATGTGAAAACTAAGCTCAGAAGACGACTGTGGAACTCGGGCCAGCAAAATGGCATGACGTCCTTGGCATTGTACTCATGAAACCTTGTTAGAACATTGTTGTTGGGATATAATTTAAAAGTAAGTGCAATAATTGAATAGAAATTAGAATTAAGATTTGTGTTATAAGAAACGCGGAGGATACAGGGTGGCGTACATTTAATTTATTTTATGGTTTACGGGGTTGGTAGGCCTACGACAGGAGAAAGTCGTGTTACGTTTTATGATTATTTGTCAGTAGGCACTGCGTACCGTTGGTGTATAACGTGTTTGTTAAGGGAACACGGTGCCTGAATTCGGTGATCTACTTCAGATTTTATTATCTTATAATGTTTAAAAAGGAAAAAAATGTATCTTTCATAAATGTACAAACGAAAAAAATATCTTCAGAGTTCTCTTTTCATATGATAAAGTCACTGTCCGCATGGAGCAAAATTTCAAAACCATTACCGTTTTGCATGGACATCAACGGCTTTCTTGCACGTTGGCCGTTATGGACCAGGAAGCGTCTAAAAACAATATTTTACCGACAGAAATTCCATATGATTCAAGAGAGAGAGAGAGAAAGCGAGAGGGACAAAACACTGCCATCAATTTACAATGTCCTTTTCCAAAACGCCATTTCACACGGATCTACAAACAAAATAATGCACTTTTTTATTTACCCGAGGCGTTCTCTTTACTACATGTGGTAACTTGCTTTTGTTTAGAAAGCCCTTGACATACTAGGCAAAAGAAGCCACGGAAAATCACGGATAATTTTCACGGAAAGTTTGTTGGGGTTTATCAACCGAGAGGTTCCAGCAGCCCTGATCATTCAGCTCGCTGGGAATAAAAGATAAGTAGATGGTTGTCGATGCCTGCTCCATATCAGGCACTTTGATGAGTAAATTATATTCAGGTCAAAGCGAGACACAATTAATTTACTTGGGAAGTTTTATAGGACCTACGTGATTGATCACTACCGAAGAGTTAATGTAGAACTGACTTGGATGGGAACGACGTTTAAGTCAGACATATAATTATAGGGGAGACCGGGGCTAGTTGGCCCAGTTAGACACTTTTGGCCTTGTAGAGCCAACTAGGAGTGGGTTAGAGTAACAAAACCGGTTTCAAAGTAAGCCCCATGAACTAAGCTACGTATGCAACGTCATTATTTTTCAAATATAATGCCAGGTGGCTCACAATTTGACAAAAAACGCAGTTGACGTCAGGGGGGCCAACTTGCCCCACCATGGGGCAAGTTGGCCCCAGGGTTGGGGCAAGTTGGCCCCCCTATACGAAAATGAAGTATATATCCCATGTAAACGCCTTGAAATACATTATTATAAAATTTTAATTTATTTAATTGATTTTTGAGAGTCTTTGATGAATAAACAGTTCAAATGAGGCAGATTTATTGAGGTTTCCGTACGTCACGTTGTTGGGGGGGAGGGGGGGTATGTGTTGCAAGAACCAAAATATCTATCAATAAAATGTGTTTTGTTTTAATTAAGAATAAATAAATAATGGTATAAAGAAGGTTTTTAATGAATGAAAACGAATAATAAATTTTCTTTTTAAAAGAAAGTAACAAATTCAGTTTTAAACCATTGAGTTTGTTTCAACAATGGTTTCTAGCTAGGGAGGGGTGGAAAATCCCCTTGGGGCCACATATAACACTATAAATACAAAGGGAATCCCCTTACAATGAATTAAGGCAAAATAAATGTTTTTCTACGGAAAGTCCAATGGATTTGCTTTTTAATACTTACAATCAACAGAATATTTCTAATATAAATTTTCAAAAAGACACTAGAAGGCAAATTTTAAAAAATCAATCAGACGGTAATAGACACCGGCAAGCTTTGTCAATTTCACCAACTTGTTTATTTCAAACAGCGTTGCGCGCAAAGGTTTGTGGGTAATATGAGGGTCCAACACTAGTTGGACCCCGGGGTAAGTTGGCCCCCGTCAATTTATGAAAAAGTAACTACGAGATAAAAAAATTGGCCACATACTCTTGCAAAGTGACCGTAGCCTACAATGCTAAGGGAGTGTCGGACGTTAAAAAGTTTTACTTAAGCAGTGGGTCGAAATAAACGATTTTTGCACCTAAACTAATTTTGTTTAAGAGATTTAAAAATCTATTTTCATAGGCTTTTGATCGACTATAAGATATGTATAGGGCATCAAACTGAAGCTCATTGTTTCAAGTTTCACAGAGATGTATCATCGTTGCTCATTCTAGCACCATAAATGGCTACCATCCTTTAAAATAAATAATGTGCACCCGACTTACCCCGGGGTCCAACTAGCCCCGGTCTCCCCTAAACTAGTAGATCTGACCCACGGGCGGATCAAGGATTATTGGCCTCGGATGCGAAGCCCACCACCGCTACCTTGCCGTGGGTATGGGGACTGCTTAAGGGCCCCGAAAATTTTTTGGCGTTTTGGAGGGCAAACGGTGCACTTTGGTAGGGTTTAGAACTATAACTCAGCTAGTCAATATTCCAATTTCAAGAGGGGAATATTGGTGTGATATGTTTTGCAGAAACCGAAGGGGGGGGGGGTCAGGACCTCCCTGACCCCCCTCTAAATCCGCCACTGATCTGACCTATAATATATAGGCCTACTGATAATGTGGTCGAAGAACGATAAAATTGGTGTCTGGCTATTTTCTCAAAGTCGGCGCTAAACTGCACCGCTTCTCTCTCTCTCTCTCTCTCTCTCTCTCTGACACACACACACACACACTGGCAATGCCGCCACAATAAGCCCTAACGATCTACAGGTACATACATAGGCCTACACGCATCTTTGATGGTACGGTATGGAACTGCTGGCAAAGGCTGAATCGTTCAGTGGTTCCCCTGGAAACTGAAACTCGCCGCACACATCTTCCGTACAACTGAAGACCACATGATTTTTTTTTTACTTGGAAAACAATTAATGCAGGCAACAGGGCCAAGTATCCGACAGTTTAACTGTGTGAAACTTGGTGTAGTTAATGATTATAAAATGAAAAATTATCAAACAGAATTAGGCAACAGTGGCAAGATAGAGTGAAAAATATTGTTGGAAATCTGACAACAGGACTATGTCAAATTACATACGGGTAAATTACCGCAGTTGTCGCAATGCAGTAATTTTTGTCGGAAGATAAAAGTTGAGTCACCTTTAAAAAGGCAACTGACTCGTGCTCCCTGACACGGGCTACAAAGACAGTCATGCACGTTTGTGGAAAAGCCCGTTGCGTTTGTCTCGTCCGTAAGACATTTATACCATACTACATCCGTAAAGTCCATTTTGATATATATAGGGTGTATGAATTTTTAATAGTCAAGACGTGATTTTTACCACATACATGCCCAATAGAAGAACCCGACAGACATATTTCTTGAAAAGTGTGAAATGTTCACGATAAAAATTATTTGTTTGAATGATTTAACAGAAAGATTCAGCTATAATCTGGTTATTCTGCTAGGAAAAATTACGTTTTGCGGTCAAATGAAGGTCTCAGACAAGACGGTGAACTTAGATGACCTGACCTCCTGACGACTCGTATCACGTGACTGCATCCTTGCACAAGGTCAAATAGACAGCACTTTTCTCTGGCTTGCACATTCGCTGCCAGTTTCTTTGTGAATTGGCACCCCAGTCGACTTCCATTTCGAAGACAGCGTGATACAAGGTAAGTACTTGATATTAGTGTTAACTAAAACTTTGCTAAGGTTGAAAGAGGTTACATTTCTTTCACGAGAAAATTCCCGGGGCGGAAATGCCCTTGCTTCACATTTCTTGTTTACAGTTTTTAAAAAAGAAAGCCGGCCGGCGAATTTTTCTCTGGTTATTCTCCTAACTGAAGCGGTGACATTCTATCCTTAATAGAGAAAATGTTTTAGTTTGTCAAGGAAAATGTTACAGAGGTGAAATATATGGACATAATGGTAGCAAAAAAGATTGTTATTGTAATGACATTGTGACGAGGGAAGGTCACACGAGGCGACTCCTTATTCATGTACGCT